AAATGTCACTTCTCTCATAAATATGCAAACATAAATGACTCGCTTGAAATTTTTGTTCCGAAAAAAATGCTTGTATGAGTTAAATTTGGTAGCGGCATTTTCAGTTTTTTTATATTTAAATTCTTAGCAATTCATTTTTTGAATAATTCGTTTTATTTGTATATAAAATTTTGTTTTAAGTTGTTTTACACTTTATTATATCTAAATTTTTTAAAATTTATTTAAAAATTAACTTTTTTGTTCAAATTGTGGATTTAAGAAATTTTTAAAAGTTAAAATTGATTGCTCTTAGTGCAAGGCTCAAGTGTTCACGGTTCAGCTGTTACGAGGCTCAACTGCCTGCTGCTCAATTGTTAAGAGGCTCATGTGTGAAGGCTCAACTGTCGGGGCTCAGCTGTCTATGTACCAAGATCAACAAATATTGCTGTTGCATGTTCCGATGGCATTCATTTTAATTTATCATTAATTTCTTTTTCATTACTTGTACATATTCAACGAGCAAATATGAGACTACAAAAGCCTTAACCTGTACCAATATTTGTTACGTTTATATTTGGTTTACAAATAAAAGAAAACATTTGGTCGTGAGGAAACAACCTTTCCATCTTTCTGAGATTTCTGAAGAAGGACTCATCGGAAATATTTGAAACTTTCAAGATAGATATATCTCGATAAGTAGTGCGGAAGTTGTCATAGACTTCAAACTCCTAAATACTGCTTTCTAGGAAATATCGAAATTCAGCAGCTACAAAAAAAACTTCAACTGCGTCAAACGTACTGTGTCGAAGAACCAACAGCGATTCTGCACTTTTTTGGCATAAAAATTGATTTTGAGAAAAATGAAAAAAAAGAAATTCCTTGTATGTAGCAGAACCTGTTTTTCTCCAACTAAAATGATCAAAAAGTAGCTGTATTAGAGATTCTTGAAAAATGTTCATTATCATTAGAAGAATTTGGTATACAAAGAATAATTTGATAGAGAATACTTCGAAATTATATTAGTGATGAAAAACCAAGAATCAAAAATAAGTTCAAATTTTATCATACGGAAACGGGGAAAGTCTCCATAAACCATCAAGAAGCCATTCGATAAATACTTGAAAAACATCAGCAGATAATAATGCAAAAAAATTCTTTGCATTAATATAATAAATCTAAATGAAATGATAAACGTTAATATAGCAGCTAATCATTTGGATATAACATCTTTACGAAGTTGATAACTTAATTCTATATTAATTAATCATTATCACGAAAATAAACAGAAAAAAATCACAATCAAATACAGGTCGAAAAAAATAAATACCAAGACGTAGATTTCCTAGTATGATCATTAAAAGATCATTCATCTAAGAATATACGAAAAATAAATTCGAGATATCATTATTTTTTTATCTAGATCTAATCGGATTATTTTGACGATCGTTAATAGGTAATTGTTGCATGACAATAATGGCTTCGTTCGTTTTCTTCATTTCTTCTTTTTTTCTTTTTGGGACTTTAACAAGGTGTGTCATTGCATGAAGGAGAAACGTCTGTCGCTAATCCATGATGGCACGCAAAAAAAATCCAAGAAGAGCAGAAATTTTATTTATGGCCTACTTACATCCAAAAGAATGAAAAAAAGACTTATTTCTTCTTACTTCTTTTTTTTTTTATCAATGTGAAGTTACCAAAGGTTACATAGTAGAATATAGGAAAAAAATCAAGGACAAAGAAGTATTTAATAACAACTTTATCGTAAGAAGTTGATAAATTAATGCATCTAGCATCAATAGCATGATAAATTGAGAAATATTTAATGTTAATATGTGATTGATCTAACCTTGATCTACACTGTTCTGTTATGCTCTTTTTATGTATTTAACTTATCAATCTAAATTGAATCAAAACTAGTAATTCATGTTGAAACATGGATCGAGAGATGGAACCGGTCTGACTAGTCGATAGGAAATCCATATCGACACTAGACTGATGAGTCTTTGTAGTATTCCATCTATGAATAGTAATATTTGACATAGCCACCTTTCAATCATGTTTCATTATACATTCTCTGTGAGATACTAAGAGCAAAAAAAAACTAATAAGACACACCAATTCACGGACAAACCGACCAGTTTTTTTTTAATAGAAATATAGCAGTACAGATAAAGAATTTGTCGAAGAGATACCACGTAAGTGAAATATGGCTTATTGTGCCGATTATCTTCTTTTTAGAGCCATCAAAATCATTCAAATAAAAATCTAATAAACAAACATAACGGTCGCATAGATAGAATTACATAGAAAAATATAACACTTCAATGAGTTCACAATTAAATTCTAAATTCCTTGATTATTTGTTAAGCATCTTTTTAAACTATATTTCTCTTGAAGTTTTGTGATAATAAATCAAACGATATGTTTATAGTTCGATTTAGAAGTATTCGATAAATCTAAAATAAATCTCAATATATAAAAATAAAATCATTGTCTGTTATTGAAAACATATTTTCTATGACATTTTTTGTGATGTGTATTGTTTGCTTTTATTCATTGAAAATAAAATAATGGCAAGTGCATCCACTACTAATCTTCTAATCAACTGGTTTCGCATTCATATTTCATTACCACGAAAAACAAATCTGACCACATCTGTACATCGTACAGGTTATTCTGCAGCTTATCCAGAAATTAAACGATGTCATCGTCGACAATCAAATTTATTTTCTTGTATTCCCTTATGTTATAAATCAAAGAAAAAAAACAAAACATATTTATCACATGAACATGAATCAAAACAACATCGAAAACATTCTTCAATAAAAGGATGTGCAAGTTTTGCTCGATTTGGTACATATCAAGAAGGTGATACTGAAGAAGATTGTTAATTCGAACTATGATTTCATTTTTATCTTACAATATAATACTTGTCGAACAATGTCTTTATTGATTCATTTTCTTAATCCTTGTTTCGAAGAACTATCAAATATAATAAATGTTTTGTAACATTTTTTTTTTCTTTTGAAAATATTTGAGCAAAGAAATAATAGAATATCTTATTTTTTTGTCAGAAGATATGCGATTCAATCCTCTCTCAAATTTCTATAAGCAAAAATTTAAAATAAGATTATGTTATATAATTCAATGAATATTACCTACCTTCCATGGAACTTTTAGTAATGTATTATTTTTATGTCGAGGAATATTTAGTTTTTAAAAAATATAATCCTCTGCTAGACAGTGCTCCGAAAATTCTATCGATTATATATTAATGCACATTCATTCTAAAAATAGTATCTATGATCAGATCAAGCTCATTTGTTGCAAAAGTCTTGTGTGAATCGATTAGTCTTCCTATTTGTAGTCCAAATGAAGTTTTAGCAAAAGTTCAAATATTGTAAGAAACAAAAAAAAGTCAGTTTTTGTTGCAGACTTTTTGTCAGAAGATTTTTATTGAGAAACTGTCAACTCTTACTATGAAACAGTGATAGATGATTCTGAGTTTGTAATTTATGTCGAGTTCAGTTGCAAATACCAAGTTTCTTCGATATATGCTTAAAACTTCGTGATAATTGGAAGTTAATCACAGTTCTTCTGCTTGGTTTTTTTATTTTGCTGCATGAATATTTTTGGAAATTGTAGAGAAATTTTAGATTTCATTTGAAACTAGGTCTTATTTTTACTGTGATCACATGTAGCTATCACATCGACTGTTTTTGCTTAGTTGTCAAGTGTGATTGGTTATGAAAAATGGTGCCACAAAATTAATCATTAGCTAGAAGACTCAGACAAAACAAGAGAAAAAAAAAATGTATTGTGCCGTTTTAAAATCGACTTTCTTTTGAGTACCAATCAACCACTTCAAGACGGAAATATCGATTGAATACAAAAATAAGAAAAAAAAAAGACGTAAACCTTTCGAACAGTCCGTTTTGGTAAAAAAAAATGACGACATTGGAAAAAACAGTTTGTGTGAAAATTAAATACTATTCATTGATTCATATAAAACTATCTATAAAATCTTAATAGAAATTTCTAGTGAATTCAATTCTGTATGATTTGATTAAAAAGCTAAAATCATCTATTACTTCTCTTCTCAAATATTTGCAGCGAAAACAATGTTGCAAAACTTTTGTTACATCCAATATATCATTCTTATTAATAATAAGGGCTAATGTATTTGTATTTGAAATAAATATATTTATTTGTTTTCTGTTTTTCTTTATGAAATATTGATAATAAGAATAAAATTCATCAAAAAATTAAATTAAGTTTTTCAATTTACTAACAAACGTATTATTTCAACAAATTAAAAAAAATTATTATTAATTTGTTATCTATGCGTCTGTAAGTTTTCATATATTGAATAACCTTACTTCAATTAATCTAAGGGTTAATTTTAAGAAAAATAACTGACATCAGAAGATTGTCATTATTAATTTCTGAGAATATAAAAAGATATAATGTCAGTGGTATTTCGTATTAATCTTCACACACAATTCCATAAATTACTAATGACACAATACAGAGAAAAATCTGACATTTCTATGTTATCAATAATGAATTTCATTTCTGTTGTTTTTCTTTTCGATTGAATAATCGAATGTCATTTATAATTCATCAATCATTTGTTTTTTTTTAATAGAATATATCAAATGTTTTGTTTTTGAATACGATTTCTTGAATTATCAAAACAATTAAAAATTCATATTCAACTAAATATTATTCGAATTTGTTTTTTTTTTCTTTAGTTTTATATTTTGTCTATGTGTAATGAAAAAGAAAAAACAACAGACGTGTTTTAAAATCAAACAAACTGTACATACAAGCTCATATGAGAATCGTGTTACACTTTCAAAAACAGTTAATGAAATGTATACAAAAGATAAACAAAGAAACAGAAAAGTGAAAATGATATTTATTCAGAACATAGATAATGAGAAATCAACGAAAGACTTACGGGTAAAAAATAGTAAAATTTTTGTATTTCCCACAAAATGTAAATGTTAGTTAAATGATTATAGTTTTGTTATAGTTATCTCAGCTTCATCGATTTGGTTATCATTAGCAATGTTAACGGTTGGTATTGTTGATGGTTGATATTGAACAACTGTTGACGATTTTTCATGACGATTTATTGTCTCATTAGTAAAAGAGTCTGAACCGGTTCGATTACGAATTAAAAGATCTAATAAAATAAAGTTATTTTTTCGAAAATTTTTCTTCAAAAATAAATATATTACCTTGTTTTCTTACTAATGTTGGCGTTAATAAAGCTTTTATTGTTTCAGTAGAATTATTATTATTATGAGTTATACCTAACAATCGTGTTTTCAAACGATGTCTATATCCATGTGGTGATATTGTTAGAAAAGGAAAACTATTTTTTTTAGCTTTTTCATCACCTGTTTGAATATAACCTAATGCACAATAAGATTTAAATAAATGAAGACTTGTATCAAAAAATCGAGAATCATTAGTAAAAATAGCTTGAAAATGTTCGCGATTTTCATACAGAACATTTGATGCATCATTAGGAAGGTCAGTTGGCGATAATGTTGACATTGTAGCGGTTGACGATGAAGAATTAATACTGATGGAATGTAATAGAGACATTCATATAGGTAAATATTGAATATAATAATATATTCCCTTTTGAACAATAAATGATCATAATATACTCTGGTCAGATCATGTTATTTCTATTAATGAATGAATGTTGAAGTCCGTCTTTTATTTTAATTAATATATGATAGTTATTTTTGCACCTATTACCTAGCAGGTGTTCTAGATGACGCTAATTGACACTTCAATCATTAATGATTAAAACATAAAAGATTGATGAAGTACTCAATTGATACACACATGGGTTCAATATGCGCCTATTAATGAAGTATTAAAGATAGTTGAATTTTCTTTTCCCGTCGAAATAGACTAAAAAATCTCGCACATAAATATCTTTAATTAACTGTTCATAGACTTTGTAATATAAAAAAACAATTACTTGCAATTAAATTATGAACCATAAATAGCAAAGAAGGCCTTCTTCATGTTGATATTTCTTTCAAAAAAATAAAAATTTATCCTGAATAATTTTTGAAATTTGAAGAAGAAACTCAAACATACCAAATGCATGCCATATAGTCTAATCTATCAAATGGATATCAAAAAGTGTCTCACTATACAAGAAAAGACGTTAATATTATATCTAGAATAAAGTTTTTCTATACCGATTTCATAATTTGATTTTTATAGTTTTTATATTCAAATATTTTATCACAAGAATATTAACAAATGATTATCTCAAACGAAAATTTTCTATAGTTTCATCAGATTTTATTTAAAGTGTCTATTTACTTACAACCTCAAATGTGTAAAAAGTATTGACACAACTTGTTTATTCAATTTTTAAACACTTATCAATCACCGAAGAGAATAAAAAGTAGTCACTTAAAATCAAAATTTTCATGTTCTTTCTATTTCGATATTCAGAAACCATGAATAACATCTAGATAGACTTCTAATCGATTACATTTGAAACATCAAACTTAGAAACAATTGCATTTCGTCTCTTTCGAAAAATCCTATCTGATATAAAAGTAGTTCTACGGCAATTGACTACTGCTTTTAAATGTTTGGAGATCTGATTTATTTTAATTTATAATTTTGCACATCAATAAATTCTCTACAAAAATATCATTTCAAACAGTTATGAACGATGCAAAAGAAAATTCTCTTGTACTCTCATGCAAACATCATTCTTGGTTTGTTCAGATATGTCCTTACAGTCAATTAGACAAAACGTCTCTAATAAGCATAAAAATCTGATTATAACTCACACATTTTTTGATTGTCTCTAGTGATTCAAAAGTAATTAAAGATTGAACGACTCAATAATGCAAACATTTTTTTTTACACATAGATTATTTTCGCACCAATGTAAAAAAAAATATTTTTGAAAACAATTGTTACTCTCTGAATGGATGTATTTCATTGTAATTAAATTTCAAATGAAATTCTATTTTTGATAACTATTTAAATAGAATAATATAACACATTAGACAAAAGTCACTTACTAACCAGTCAAGTTGTTTTGTTGATTATATAATCATTATGTAACTGGTCCTATATGTACGTGACACAATTTGTGTTCTTTTATTCTTTTTAGTTTGGTTACTTTTTAATTTGTTATACTTTTGATTACATTGATCATTCTTATTTTGATTCAAAATGATACATATGTGGACAATTGGAAGCAAAAAAAAAATTAGACTTTCTAAGGCTTGTTTGATAATGTCATTTTGTATCAGCACAAATACACTACTATGCTTATCTCGTATTCATACTTGATATACTATCGTTATTGTTTTTTTATTGTCATTAAATAAAATGTAAAAACAATGATAATTGTCATTTAAGTCATTGTTTTGAATAGCTCGATAAAAATGTGAATCGTTCTATTGTTCATATGTACTTTTTTGTTGTTGTTAGAGACGATAATGATTAAACTGATTATAAAATAATCGTTTAATTTCACTTGTTTCTCGTGATAAGAAGTATTCAATGATCAATATTTGTTGTTACTTTATGACTTCATGATATATTTTTCTCTAGAAGACCTAAGTATTGTTCATATTATAAATATATTCATAACAATAAATATAATATCCTAGTAATAGCACACCACTGATTGAATGAACATGTTCCTCCTTCTTTTCTTTCTCTATTGACAAAAACATAATCGTATAAAAAAGAACATATATATATATATGTATGTATGTAAATCATCATTGTTGCAAATTTATCCAAATTTACTTTCACCAACTAAGTGATTGTATATTCTTTTTTTATTCACATACTTGATTGCGTTAGATTTGAAGTATAATCGAATATACTTGAATGATCTTATTCTTTTCTAGATATATATGCATGTCTATGCATCAATCGATAATTATTTTCAAAAGTACACAGCTTGTCATTTCTGCTAAGATGATCACACATAATGATGTATTAGACTACCTATTTTGATCAATATCACATATAATTCTCTCACTTTCATGCATTCACACTCATGATTATGATACAAAAAAAAAACTGTGTATCAAGGATTGTTCTATTTTAACGATGACATACAAGTATGTACTAAAAGATTTAACTAAATCTTATGTCTAATTTTTTTTTATATAATTACTCTTTATACAAATTATCATCAATAGACGTATATGTATTCATTTTAGTACATTAATCAAAAAAAAATCTTTCTCTCTTGTCAACAAGCTTTTAGTGTTGAAACAAATGAAGCATATAGGCAATAGACGATAGTCAATAAGTGATGAATACCAGATAAAATTGACTTAAGACGATTAGAGAAATACAATGACAATCTTGTTTATTTTGCATAAAATCACCTATAAAGTACGAATTGCGATTTATTGAAAGGCCATCAGTAAAAAAAAAAGAAAAAAGAGAAAAAAAGAAATTTTCTTTTTTTCTTTTTCAAGGATCTTGTATCAAGTAATTCACTTAATGGTTATGCATTTCGCTGTTCATTTAAATTGCATTTAGATGATGCAATCATTATTCACTTGACAAATACACAGCAGGGAATAAGTCAGTATACATCCTGAGGTTGAATTTGTTATAGTTTGCTTTTTTTCGTAATATCACATCTATTATCATTTTGTTAAAAATGAATAAGAATATCGGCATTTATATACATATACGAATGACAATTGAAATAAGATATTTAAAGTAGAATATAGAATGATTTACTTTGACCCTGACATTTGTTTTTTTATGAATATTAGAAAACGAAACTTTTCTATTGAAAGAATAAGAAGAAAAAAAAAACGACCTATATTGTTCATTTGTCAGACGTCGCGACAATAGTGAGTATAATTATTGTATATTGATCACAATATACCACAATATTGGAGAGACACATCTTGTGTCTAATTACAATGTCACTATTTATGCCAGTATACATAAGTACAAAATCAATGTCTAGTCGAGTTGTTTCTTTTTTTTCAGATGATTAAAATTTGTATATGATTGAAGATGATTTGGTATTTTTTTTTAATAATATTAAATTTTTTTCATATTGATGCTAGTATTCAACGTAAGTAAAAATCAAATCTTTAAATTGATATTAATTTTTTTGTTTTTATTAAATTTTAATTTCAAGTATGTAATGGTCCATTGGGTATGATTAGTGGTGAAATACGTGATTGGCAAATAACAGCATCATCGAATTTTTTCGATCCAGATTGTCATGAAAAAAATGCTCGATTATATCAATCATTTGATCGTGCATGGTGTGCAAGACATAAATCCGATTCTGAATGGTTACAAATTGATTTAGGTATTATTGCTAAAGTTAGTAGACAATTTTTTAGTCTAAAGTTTGCTTTTAATAAGAAGAAAAAAACAAATTTTTCTCGTAGATATCAGGTGTATTAACTCAAGGTCGAGCTAATAAACAAGAATATGTTACAGCATTTATGATATCATATAGTACAGATGCATATCGATGGCAATATCTTGTTGATCAATATGGAAATCAAAAAGTGCGATTTTCTTGTGTTTTCAAACGTAATTAGATAAAAGAAAAGTTTTTTTTTTTGTTTAGATATTTGCCGCTAATATAGATTCGTATTCTATTCATAATAATTATTTTGATGAAGCAATTATTGCACGTTTTGTCAAATTTCATCCAACGAAATGGTATCTACATCCATCATTACGTGTCGAAATTATTGGTTGTCAAGGTTTAGATTGATTTATTTCTTTTGAGTTTTTTTTTTCTTTTGTTAAAATATATATTATATAGAATGTAAACAATATTTGGGTTTACCACCTTATGGAAGAATAAGTGCATCAACCACATGGCCATCTCGGCGACGTGCTACATGTCAACCTGAAGATGGTTATATTATGAGTAATAAAGGCTGGTGCTCAAAAAGACGATATCGTTAGTTTAATATTGGCTTTTCAATAGTTTTTGTTTTTTGAACGAAAAATTTTCATTTTTAGGATATGATCAATGGCTTGAATTTGATTTAGGACATCCATCAACTGTAACATCATTGATAACAAAAGGTCGAAGTGATACAAATCAAGAGCAATGGGTTACAAAATATAAAGTTTCATTTTCTAATGATACTCGTTTGTGGGTCTATTATAAAGATAAATCACAGATTGAACCGAAGGTTCGTGTTTTTTTTTGAAGATTGAAATGTAAAAGCAATTTCCTTCTCGCGCCTTAGAAAATATGAAAGTCTTTTTTTTAAACACGCTACTCTTGATTCTACATGATATTCTGGATAATTTCATAAACAGAATATTAATTCTGATGCATGCCTGTTTTTTCTTTAAAAAGGATTTTTTTTTGTAATATATTGCAGGTCTTTGCCGGAAATAATGATCGTGATAGTGAGCGTATTCATTTTTTAAATCAACCATTTTTTGCTCGATATGTTCGTTTACATCCTATTGAATGGCATAATCATGTTAGTATGCGTGCAGCTATTCTTGGATGTCCACATAAAGGTAATTCTTTTCGAAAA